GAAAATCGCCTTTAAAGTTGTCCAAATGAAGTTCTTAGCAATGCATATTACTAATCAAAAATTTCGTTTTGATTATTTACGGTATGAAATTTACAAAATATCTTCATGGAACATGATCTTTACTTAATATCCTAATGATTTTGGCATAAAAGAAAAGTTGATCATTTTGACCTATACAATGTATTGTTGGCTATTGCTACAAATCTACCTGTGCTACTTATGACTGGTTATATCGTCCAGGGTCACAAATGTATTTTCTGTCAATTTTAAAGCAGCCGAAGTAAAGTTTTTTTTTTTGTTGTTTTTTTTAATCTTTCTAAGAAAACTTTTGAATGGTAGTGTATACAGCAGATATGTTTAATGTTTTTTCTCACTTTTCTCAATTTTTCTCACTGTAAGTAAATGCTCATTCAAGTTCATATTGCCTTTCTCAGATTTCGTGAGGGTTTGAGGACACTAGGACTGTTTGAGCAGGTTCAGATGTGTACAGAGGCTTTCCATTCAGTCTTCTGTGGGCCTGTGGAAAGGCTGACGGCCGAATCTGTCATGGAGCTCTTTACCGTCCGGTTTTCAGAAGAAAAAGAGCAACAAGAAAAAGAGAACACAACAGTACACTTTTGGAAAAAGTATCTGCATGAGTGTGAAGGTATGTTCGCTACAGAATTCATATTGTTTCAGTACAATTTAGATTCTTGTTTATATTAAAAATATATGGTAATAAAATCAAATATTAAGATATGTTAGAAAATAAGCTGTTATTTGCATGATCTTAACCCTTTCCTTGTGTTTCAGAGGGTCGGTGTGCAGCACCACTTGAGGACCTCCTAACATTCACCACTGCTACAGATTTGGCTCCGTCCATTGGATTCCATCCCACTCCATCTATTTCATTCTTCAGCTCACCAGACCCCTCATGTGCCTTTCCTCAGAGCCACTGTGATGCCAATCATCTCTTTCTGCCAATACAACCCTCATATGAGCTCTTCAAGAAACACTTGGATTACACAGTGTGTCAGTTCTCAGTTATGCAGGACATTTAAAAAAAAAAAAAAAAACTCTTCTCCTGACTGGATATTTCAGTACATTCACAGCGTAGATTTACCTAATTATATACAATAGTGCTAAAGTCTATTTATTAGGGTTATCGGGTATTATATAAACAGTATTTTTCAACCTAACTCACGTTAGCATTACTTGATCATAGGTTGCTCCTCACTTTATTTATCAGTAACCCAGGTGTTGCTAAATCCTCACAGTTTGGAATCCCTCGACAAAAAAGACATTTTAACAGCTTTGCTTTGAGCCACTCAGCACTATTAGGACTTCAACTGCAAAGCAATATGTGTTCCATACATGTTGGAACACAATCTTAGATGTAATAAGACTGTTATTTGTGTTTAAAAAAAAAAAAAAGTTTTTCTTGTAAATTTAGGTGCACAGTTCAGAAGTGTACAGGTAATAGCTAGTATTGTAACCAAAGTTTAAACTGTTGAGTAGTGTTCTGTCGAACAGCATAGGTATTTAGCAGTAATTGGAATTTGATTTGATTCGATTTTTACATTTTGTTTTTTTGTAATAGAAAAACAGTTCACAATAACAGCAGGTTGTAATTTTTTGGTAGCCACAAGATGGTGCAATTGCCCCCCTTTTTGCCACACATTGGCTAACTGCTGCCACTGCAGATGAATTGGTAGTTACTGAGTTGAATGGTCTCACTGTTTTGTGCCAGAGACCCATGTTAGAATCATACACAAGCTGGTATGCTTTTGTCCTTGTATAATGTTTCATTTCTCCTGAAGTAGCTTGTAAAGTGTATGATAGTTTGCTAGCTTCATATTGGCCATAATTTATTAAACTTTTTACTTTTCTGTTAACCTCAGTGTTTTCCCCCTTGATTTATTAAATGATCGTTGATTTA